CGATTAGTATATAATGTGATTGCACATAGTAATAAAATTCCGATGAATATGTTGCTAAAAATAGATGGTACCTATGTATCATTGGTTAACTTAACTGAAATGTAAAGTAGAACTCTCGCTAGAAATTAGAAGAGATGGCATGTGAAAATTCCAATGAGAATAATTCCAGAAGAAATAGATTATATTTTGATGGAATTTTCGAGCTTTTATATTTTGAATAGGGGTTATGTTTTTAAACAAAATTTATACATGCTATATATATTTAGAAATGTCGACAAGTATTTCTGTTGAAACACCATATGTAGGTTTAGACGATAGCAAAAGTTTGACTTGATCGTACGACTATGAGTGCTATTATTTATGTAACCAGGAATGACCCCTTACAGTTACACACAGTTATTGATCTTCAGAACCATTTACCATACATACAACTAATCACTCTTCTTAATATCAGATCACTCTCCCTTTTTTCTAAATCACCCTTCCTTTTGAAACTGGGAGAGCTTTTTTAGGGGAGCAATATTTCCAATTTGTTCATTAAGGGGAGATTTTTTCGGCTCTCCTCTAAAATACAAATGAAATGAAATGATATGGGGTTTAGTGTCCTATTGTTCCCTCTAAAATACAAACAACAACAACTGCCTAATAACACCCAATACAATATATCCGTTAACTTGTCTACGATATCTCTTTGGTGGAAGCGGACATTAAATAAAGATATTTCACACACACACACACACACATACACATGGTTATAATACAATAACCGAAAACTAAATAACAGTAAGAGTTATGCCCCTCATTGATATTGTCAGTTCATGACATTAATTAACCAATTTGTCAAAAACAACAAAAGAAAATTATTATCAATTACCGGTATCTGTCAAATTAATTCTAATTAAGCCAATGTGTTTATTTTGATTTAAGAATGTATAACAATATGTATAATAATATTGTGACAGATGAAAATAGTATTTTGATGTCATTCATAGAGCAATAAGTGGCTATTTATCATGTCAGGGACCAAGTCATTGACTGAAATTATCCAATAATTTCATGTCTGACTGTCTTTCAACCTGTTTATAATGTCTTTATTATTTCAAGTGAGTCTTACTTCAAACACCAAATTACAGTAATTGGTATAAGTAAGTACAAAATTCAAATGTGATCTCATTGATCTAACATTTGTTTTAGAAATGAAGAAATTTTAATTTAGAACCCTTGCTAACCAGAAAGTATCGTGTGTACATATGTATGGAATGTTGTTTGTGTTGATATTTCTAGGTCATTTTGCGATTAAAATAAGGCATCGCTTAAATAGTGTGGATGACCCTGTTACCTAAAAATTAACATTGATTTACATTCAGACAATTAAAACTCCACGCATACTTTCCAGGTTTTTGTTTTTGAGTCAAAGGGTTTCAACTGTCTTAAGGATTATTGTACATGCACAATTCCCCGTCTAATGTCTGGTACTACTATAATGACCAAATGGAGAGTTAGACTATTTGTATATTTTTTTTTCTGAATCTTCAAAGGTTTGGATTTTTTGGAGACCTACCACATATTAACAGTAATTTTGATACAACTTTGACAGTTCCATGCCAACTAAACCAAAACAGAGCTTTATTGTTCTGATCGACCGCTAATGGCCGGGATGTTGGGTATTTCTGTGTGCTTTAGATCATAATGTTTGTCAATGTGGGGTATACGTGACAGGAAGAAGGGTCTAATGACCAACTTAATGGATTTTCTCCAGGTCCTCTGATCTGTTTCCTCCCACTGCTAAAGACTCCATTTATTTCTCTCTCTCTCCAATGGCTGCCAGCATTCTAGTCAGTCGTACAAAATATAACGTAAAGGGTCAAGACGTTTGGAATTGACCTATTTTTAAATAAACTGGCAATATTTATATCCTGGGTCACATAAAGTTTAAACCGGGGAATTTGAATTTCTATGAGTATGATCATGTTTCTAGATTTAGTTTGAATTGATCGATTTGACTGATTATTGATCATGTATGTTCTTTTAAGCTATATTATTCAACCGTTATTCGGGTATTCTGGTGCTTTAATAGAAATAAATGGTGTCAATTAAGAGGTTTGAAATATTGAGGTAATAATATAGTGTAAATCGGGATAGTAATGGATTTGTAGATATAAAGCTATTATTATTATTATTAAATATTCTATCCAGCAATGTAATTTGAGAAGTAGTAATGTGAAATTAATGAAAAAGTACATGTTGATATAGATATATTTGTCCTAGCTTATGATAATTGTAAATGAAGAAGACCAGACAGATTATTATTCTGGTTAGATCGACCCTGTATTAATGTACAGTTACTGTTACACAGTTACTAATTTAAAATAATCTGTAATAAATGAAATGAAATGGGGTGTAAGCCCTACTTTTCTGCAATGACTAGGCAGTGTAATGGGTCATATAATCTGAACAGCTTCCTTTACAACTGTTATCATAATTCTGCCTACAGTTGATTTATGGGGATTGTTCTATAATACAGTTACTAATTTCAATTTCACATATTCGTTTAATGGGCCATATATATATAAATGATATGAAATGAAATGGGATTTAACATCCTACTTTTCTGCAACAACTGAGCTAATGAAGATGGGTAGTTTAAAGGGGCCATATAATCTGAATAGCCCTCCTTTACTACTAACTTCATCATAGTCCAACTTACATTGTTGTAGTTGTGATAAAAACAAAATCATGGTTTTTATGTGGATTGTTTTATAAAAGTGTGTAAAAATTGTCCTTGTATAAATATTCGTCTATATTCATGTCTGTTTTGTCACAAATTCGTATGTTTGTCAATGTCTACTGGCACTTCTTTATTCTTTGCACCTGTTATCTCATGTCTCGTCCTGTTATCTATTATCTTCTGTACATATATATATATATAAAAACCTAATTTTCCTTTTTCCACTAATCACATTGTAAATATTTCACTATGTATATATAACCTGTAATTGTCTGCAATATCACCTCGGTGGAAGCAGACGTTAAATAAAGCTATTTCACACACGCAGTGAAAATGGACCCGGAAATTGTGATGATTTATTATTAACCATATTATTAATCATAAGAATTAATAAGTATAACTCCCATACACTGCAAAGTTCATATTGTTGGCTAAGCAACAAATAACTTTTATAAATGAAAATATACGACACTAATTTTACATACATAATATTTATTAGTTAAATTGTTATTAATCAGACAGGAGTCATTAAGTAGGTGTTTTGTTACTGAGGTGTTAAAACCGTGACTGTTGAATAATATACACCACTATAAGCCATGTTTTTGTATTCAATAGTGATGGGTATTAGAATTAGTTACGCTTTTACACCAGTAGTGACATCTATTACAGCAAGTCACACACCTGCTAATTAATGACAACTGTATAATTTCTAAGCACTTTCTATCTATACATACTAAACATTAGTTTATATTTATGTTAGTTTTATGTTATTTTCCTGGCAAATTCTTAACTCAAAATCGGGATGGGGCTGGGGGGAGGTGTTGGATGGCCGAATGGTTAACACATGCACCCTGTATAAGGTCTGTCATTGAGTCAACTGGCATGGTTTCGATTCCCTGATTGTATGTGACAAGGAGTAGGGTCGCCTGTCCAGCCTCGTGGATTTTCTCCGGGTCCCCCGGTTTCCTCCCACTGCTAAAGACCCATACATGCAAGCAAATTATTGAAATAAGATTGACCCATGTGTTAGTCCCAGAATGACCTAGTTTGTGTTAAGTAGACGTTAAACCCCATTTCTTTCTCTCTCTCTCTCCTTCTCGCTTAACTCAAAATCAAAACTATGTAAGGCATTTACCTGTGCAACACCGCGTAACATTTACTTAATGCATCCTTAATTACATATACCGGGTACCTAGTTACATAATATATCCTTAATTACATATATACCAATAAACTGGATATTTTCTTACACAATAAATTCTAAAATATACCAAGACAACGGGCAACAAGTTACATAATAAATCCTTAAATACATATATATCAATTCACTGGGTAAATAGTTACATAATAAATCCTTAATACACCAATACACCGGGTAACTAGTCTAGTTACATAATAAATCCTTAAATACATATATATCAATTCACTGGGTAAATAGTTACATAATAAATCCTTAATACACCAATACAACGGGTAACTAGTTACATAATAAATCCTTAAAAACATGTATATATCAATACACCGAGAATAAATAGTTACATAATAAATCCTTAATACACCAATACACCAGGTAACTAGTTACACAATAAATCCGTAAGTACATCTACACCAATAGAACATGTAACCAGTTACATAATAAATCCTCAATTACATATACACCGGGAAACTAGTTACATAATAAATCCTTAAATACACATACACCTGGCAACTAGTTGCATAGTAAATACATATACACCAATACACTGGTTAACTAGTTTTATTTTTGGCACCTAAACACTAATCCCACAACAAAGACATCTACCAATCCAGAAGCAGAAGAAAACACCTACCAAACGATATGTTTTTTACTAAATAAAGGGAAGAACTTCCCACAAAACCCAATCCATGACCTAAGGCCGAAAATGGAAAGATTGCAAAATCATATTCTAAAAACAGGAAGCAGCTTCGGCTCTCCTATTTCTTGTCTGCGATATCACTTATGTGGAAGCAGACGTTAAACACCAGGATACTACTACTACTAACTAGTTTTATAATAAATCCTTAATTACATAAACACCAATACACTTTCTCATCCTCTTAATACACATTATGCAAATCTTTGAAACTGAATAAATATTATGAACTGGTAATTGAATTCTTATAAATTTAAAACTCAGTTAGATACTGGGGAATAAGAACCAAGTGGCTCTTTGAAGATATTCTATTATTGCATCATTACATAATTTACACATGTGGATCTTTTGGTTTTATTCACCATTTATTGTTTTTCCAGACCTTGCCACAAGATAACCAGAAGATGCGATCACTGCTTGGTGGTAATCTATATGCATATGAATTACCCGCCCCTCCTGAGATACAGGCGATAACAGCAGAAGAAGAAAGAAATGGGGCTGTTAAAGAAAGTATTGGTTTAAGTGAAATACAGAGAGGCCTGACGTCAAGTAAGAGCTGTCTTTGTTTTACGCATATTTACGTAACAGTCCTGTGGTATAGTTTAGAATTGAGGTTCAAACGTTATATGACGGTAAATTTAAAAGCATAATCACTATAATGATGATTGATAAATAAATAATTTACAATTTGATGGGATTTGAGTTTCACACTGCTAAAAGATCAGTAAATGTTCAGAATTGATTTTATCAAAATTCTTTAAATTAAACATACGTTATGCAAGAGCTAAATCTGCCTATTGCAGGTCTTTCTTTAGGCCTTAAATTTTTCTAAATTATTAATTAGACATTAACTTATCCAGGCCATAATCAAATCTCAATGGCATCAGATTTTTCCGATATTAAATACATTAGAACAGTTCAGCCATATTTTGATTCAAGCTGAAAATGGAGGAGCAAGACTTAGCTTCGAACAAACAGTATTGTGGTTGAAATTATTGCACACATCTTGTCAAACCTTTAAAGGCTAATATCTTCGCTCGCAATAGAGTAATTTGAATGAAATTTTCAAATTATTCATTTTACATTATCTATTTTCAAACTTATATCACCGGCGTGTTTGTGGGCTATTCTGGTTTGAATATGCACCCAGGTGATACATATGTACATATGTAATATTTCATACCTATGGATGAGCTAGGATTGGGGGTGTATAGTTCGTTACTGGAGAAGTATTCTGGTGAAGGCGGTCACTGTTCATTAAAAGTCCAATTCCAAATTCATTTCAATATTACTTTATATACAGTTTTAAAAATACATTATTTACAAATTATATACAAGGCATTCGATCTCCTTGTCTGTGTGTCTCTAATTTCATCTGCCCTCTTGTCTGTGTGTCTCTAATTTCATCTGCCCTCTTGTCTGTGTGTAGAGGTCTTTTAAAGTAACTAATTTACATACAAACAAGGCAAATGATTTCAACAAATTAAATTAAAGATAAAAATATTGTAACACATCAAATGAAAAGAAGTTAAATAAATATATAAATTTCATTGGTTGAAAGTTTCATAGTGAAATATAATTTATAGGATCTAATAAGCTTTAAGCCATAAAGAATTAAAAAGCATTGACACTTGATTGGCATTGATCAGACTGCATTGTTAACTGTATAAATCTTTGCTCAAGGTTTCTCTTAATAAGCCCACTGGCATCCAAAGATTATAAAACAGTCAAAGCCAATCATGCTTTTAGGCAATTACTTTTTATAGACTTTAAATCAAAATATTACCACTAAAAGTAAAGAAAGACCAAATGATAACCTTACTATTAGCTATATTGTCTATATACTTTAAGAAATAAATTCTGTATATCCTTAAAATAAAATTTGAAAAAGAAGTAGAATTTAGTATCACTATTCGGTGATACTATTATAGCAAGACTGGCTAGCTCTTTATCTAAATCTTACATAATGTATCTTTAATATAAAAACTATTGCTGAAATACAGACATTTCAAAATCAAATTTGCAAGTCGTTAAGATTTTCTAACGGTTGACTCCAGAGATCACTGTGAAAATTATGTTGCTCTAATAAAGTAGGGCAATGCTTGGATTTTTGATGATTTGGGGATTTGTAAATTATATTTAAAAGTCCACATTAAACATGAATTATTGTGAAGTTTAGCCATTGCTAGATCATTGATGCTTTATCAAAAGATGAATTTGAAAATAATTAATCAATTTGATATATTTATGAGCCTCACTATTGGCATATTACATGTTATTTTATAGGGAGCTGTGGTGGCTGAATGAGTCAGACGCTAGTGTGCTAACTTGTTGATTTGTTACATTTTATTTTATTGGTCTGTGAGCAAGAAACTGGCTCTGTAACCTGTGGACTTATTACATTTTATTTTATGAGGAGCCACTGTGGCTCAGTGAGTATGACGCTGGCACGTTAACCTGTTGGCTTGTTGCATTTTATTTTATGAGGAGCCATGGTGGCTCAGTGAGTATGACGCTGGCACGTTAACCTGTTGGCTTGTTGCATTTTATTTTATGAGGAGCCACGGTGGCTCAGTGAGTATGACGCTGGCATGTTAACCTGTTGGCTGGTTACATTTTATTTTATGTGATTATATTATAGTTTAAGGAAATAGATAAATGGAATATCTGTCAAAGGCTTTTGGAGTAATTGATAATAATGACCCAGATGAGTCTGTTCATTGTAAATCACTACACAATCTAAAATTGGAAATTATTATGTAGCTGGTCAATCCACTAAAATTCTCATATTACTTTTACTTAGCTAAAGTAAAAGTGCAAAATTATCGTTTAAAATAAGGTATGTCATGCAACTAGCTACACTACCGAATGAATATTTATAGGTCTTATCACTTGTGATTTCAAGACATGACCTGCAATTATTGGACAGGACCGGAGGAACAATTGTAATGTAATAGACAGAAATATATTCTACATTTATAATAATCAGTTTATTTCCTCTCATTTAAGAGAAATTCGGGGATCACGTGGCTAAGTGGGTAAGACGCTAGCTCGCTAGCCTGGAGGTCGGGTGTTCGATCCCTGCATTGGCCGAGAAAGTTCATCCAGATTTTCCGGCGTGGTTCTCCCTTGTCAGTGATGCAGGACGGAGGGGCTGACAAGGAAAGCTGTCTAGTCGTTCGGATGGGACGAAAAACCGAGGTCCCATGTACACATTGGCGTGCACGTAAAAGATCCCTTGGCAGTTGGAATTCGATATAAGAGTAGGCCGTAGTGTCCGGGCAAAATTTCCCTCATAACACACTGTATGGCGTATGCCCGTCTTCATTAGCCCAGGTTAGGAGCAGAACAGTAGGACGTTAAACCCCATTTCATTTCATTTAAGAGAAATTCTGTTTTGTATCTGATTTGGCATTTGTTCAAAACAAGACTTTAACCCAGTGTAATTTGAGGTGATTGTAACAGATGAAGGTGGTATATTGGAAATGAAAATTGATCTTTGGTGTCCTATTGTGGAATTTTGTAAATTAAATCATGGTTAGTGTTTGATGTCCAGAATAGTCCAAATGATGGATGGTCACCATCAGATCGTGGTATTTTGTAAAGTAGGTTGTGGTCCGTGATTTATCTCCAAAATAGTCTAGAGGATGGTCAACATTATTTTGTACTAATTAAATTTTAGTGGAGGGACCCAGTTAACCAAACCCAAGTATCCCTATATTTGATGAATGAATGAATGAATGAAACAGGGTTTAATATTTGTAGTATTAGTACTATTAGTGATGATTTTTCCAGGCAACATTTCAGTAGACCTCCTAACATACTGCCCGTCTTCCTTAGCCCAGATGGAGCAGAAAAGTAGAAGCTAAAACCTATTTTATTTCATTTCGTTTCAGTAATGATTATTGTTTTTGAAATTTTAAACTGATTTGGTTTTCTTTCCAGAATAGTTTGGTAATCGTGACTGATGTAATTAACCCAGTTTCTTATTTTGACTTATCAGATTTTTTTTTTTACATTTTATTGAGTGTCTCTTATTAATATATAAATTATTCATAGGTATTGGTAACATTTACCAACCATTAATTATGCAATAAAACATTAAATGGCTCTGTTATTCTAATTTGATTAGTTCATTGTTCCCTTAATCAATGTTTACTTCTGATTAATTTGACAAACTGCAGTGTTTGGCTTTTATACAAATTTCTTTCTTTAAACCTGCTGTTTTCCTAGTTTAAGCGTTATTGATTACTCTATGTATCTCTAATAGATATTTTCTGTTTACGCAAGAGATTGAGTTGCACATTATTGTCTTATAAATTGATGGTTTCTGAATTGTATGTTTTGCGTAACACACCTTTATTGTCTTTCTAACTGAAAAGTTCCGAGCAGATTTATTAGTTGTTTAGACAAAAAACACTAAACTCATTGACAAAAAACTTTTATTTCCAATAACTGAATAAGTAATTGGTTTCTTTTGTCTCGATGTTGGGATTTGTGCAGCATTTGATTCCCTTATTTATTTTTTGAAAGAAATTCAATAGATTTTAAATAACAATTGGTACAAATCGATTAAGAGTTTTTTTTAAAAAAGATTTCCATGTAAAAGTTCTAAGTTTCCTGTTATTAATGGCTATGTAAGTTCATCCTTAAGACACAATTTGTAATGGGTTACAAGATCAGCAAACAATGATGCAAATTATGTCGCTCTAATAAGTAGGTTATTGCTTTGATATCTGGTATTTGGTAGCAAATATTGATATTATGTTATAAATTATTAATACAAATATTCCCTTGATGAAACTGATATTTCCAAATGTAGGTGTTACTATAGGAATAGATAAATGGATCAAAGGCTTTCTATTTATGGTTTTTCAATGCAGAGTAATTGATAATGATGAGCCAGATGAACTTCTTAGTTGTAAACCACGAAATTGAGGAATTTCAGACCATACACAACAAAAATCAATTTTTGTCCAAATTTTTGGAGATTTTCTGATGGTGATTAACCCTTCTGTTCACTTTTTGGTTGTTTAAGAAGGTGAACATAATTCAGAAAAGAGATTGCAATGGAAACTTTAAAAACCAGATGGGTTTGTTAATAATAGGGGCATATAGAAATTGAATATAATTTATTGGTATACTTACTTTCAAATTCATAATATCTTCAAGAGGGGTTGGGTGACCTTATGGCCTATTGTTCTAATGCATGAGTTTTAAGTCACAAGGTCTTTCATTGAATCCAATGGCATGGTATAAATCCCAAGACTATAAGTGACAAGGAGTTGGGTTGCCTGTACAACCTCGTTTGTTTCCTCTGGTATTCTCCCACTGCTAAAGACCAATACACGCAACCAAATTATTGAAATAAAAATTGAACCACATTTTAGTCCAAAAATGATCAAGTTTGTGTTGAGTAAATTCTCTCTCTCTCTCACTCTCTCTCTCTCGTATAAACCCAGATGACTTTTCTGGTGGTGGGCATATTTTGGGGGCCCTTCTATGTTCTACATTGTTTGTTCAGGCACATTGTTTGTTCATGATTTTCCTATTGCAAATAGCAGAGTTATCCCCTTCAGTTTGTATTCAGATGTACAAAACCTTGTTGACACGATACAAGACAGTTTTCAACCTTGGAGAAGGTTGTACATTTGGATATAGATAAGGAACCCTATTGAATTTTAAATTCATATATTTCAAACACATGCAATTTGGATGGTCATCTGTCTGGTCACTTTAAGAGGAAATGAAGAGGAAAAGGTCATTGGTGTAAGGAGAGTCTTACTGAAATTCATAATTATTGGCAGTGTAACAAATGTTCAAACTTCCTACAGCGAGTGGAACGACTATGATGCAGAGAATTAGATATGATTTATTATTAGATAATGGCTTTCATTAGTTTATCAGATGTAATTAATCTGTCATTTGATCAGTATAATCCTAGGGTTTCTGGCGACGCTGGTTATGTTATACTATATGATTATTAGCTGTGACATTTAATGTTAAAGAGCTAACACCTGGTTTAAAACCATTTAAGCAAAATTTTATTATCATTGGACCCACAAAACTTCTTTTTATATGATTTATGATTTAAGAACCAATCTTTTTTTTTAAATATTTCGTGTCTAGGGTATTTAAGTTAGTACTTTCTTAAGTTTAAAAGCTACAATTTTTTGTCCTCGGTGGTTTGAGGTTCTGTTTTAATGTGAATCATTTCATAGAATAAAAAATTATTATTGTCAAATTCACCAAACATGAATAACCAAATTTTCTATTTAGCAGTTAGGAATTTAAAAAATGATCTTATCTAAGTTTGATTAACTTACTACTATAATCAAGGTTTTAAGAAAAAATTATATTAATGCATATTTTCTGAAAGTGCTTTTCTTGAAGTCCATTTTTAATAATGAATTTTTCAAGACACCATTCTGGAGACAATTTCAATGTTCTACAAAAAACGCTCCATATTCACCAAGGTCACCCTTTGTCAAGAAAACATTACAAAAAATTATTATACTGTATTAAAACAACTTTGCAGTGTAATCAGATAAAAAAAAATGCAGACCGATGACCGACAGAAGTCGTTACTACATGTATATGCATATGGAGCCATTCTGGGTTTGGTTGGATTTTTTATTTTATTTTTTTATGAACTAAAGATTTTCTAAAGATCATTTTGATTTAAGATAACCCCAATCCTTGCCCTGTATCAAATACCTTACTGACATGCACATGATCTTAGTGCCAAAGGTCTAATATTCGATTGACACCATTGGTGAATTTTAGAATCTGGTTTTATTTGTTCTACAGAGATGTATAGAATATAGTCTTAAGAAAACCCTGCTAACATAGCATGGAAGAACTTGAAATCTCTGTGACGTGTAATCCATTAATAGCATGAGATTCATCAGAGATAGGATGTCTTACTCATCATATATGATATAATAACACACCTGTAGGCAATAACAGATATTAGGAAATGATTTATTGAAATGTTTCATCCTTAGGAAGAACTTTCATTCACATGTATTAAAGAAATGAGTGAGACATGATTTCTACTCCACATTCGAGAGAAATTTTAAGAATGGAAAAAAAATGTATGTCTAATATAAATATAGATAAAAATTAACAAAGGAAGACAGCTAGAAGACTTTTTTAAGCAAGTAATTTCAAAGGCGATGATACAAATTTAAAGCTGTTATGTGGTCTAGTAGCTGACTTACATGATTAAATGACTCACACTTTTAAGATCAAGCATGTTCATATATTTAAAATATATTAAAAATGTTAAAACTTATGGGAATGGGTCTTTTATCCTGACAAGATTGATACTGATGTTTAAACCTTTCTTTGCATGAGATGTGATAATGTGTTCTTGATGTTTTTATTAAGGCGCATACAGATAAATTTAAAATAATTCTATTTGTGTGTTTCTGATGCAGTACGTATTTCACATGACTTATTTCCTGAAATTCCTGGTTTTCTTGTACAAAGTAGCACTACATGTTGACTGGTAAGTCGTGGGATCAGTACTAGACGGAAGGGGGATCACGTGGCTAAGTGGGTAAGACGCTGGCTCGCTAGCCTGGAGGTCGTTTGTTCGATCCCTGCATTGGCCGAGAAAGTTCATCCAGATTTTCCGGCGTGGTTCCCCCTTGTCAGTGATGCAGGACAGAGGGCCTGACAAGGACAGCTGTCTATTCGTTCGGATTGGACGAAAAACTGAGGTCCCGTGTACATATTGACGTGCACGTAAAAAATCCCTTGGCAGTTGGAATTCGATATAAGAGTAGGCCGTAGCGCCGCTGCCCAGGCAAAATTTCCCTCATAGCACACTGTATGGCGTATGCCCGTCTTCATTAGCCCAGTTTAGGAGCAGAACAATAGGACGTTAAACCCTATTTCATTTACTAGACGGCAGGTTGGAAGGGTTGTCTAGGTGACTTGTGTAATTTCAAGTAAAAAAATAAATGTATGTACCATTAATTTATTGTCCAATTTGATTGGTCGAGACTTTGGAACGCAATAACTCTCCTTCTAAATGAGGTAGAATATTCAAACTTGGTGTAGGCGTTCATTAGGTGAATGCCTTAATAGAGTTCAATCATGCACATTTTCCACTTAGGCTAAGCAGAGATAATCAATTTGATTGGTTAAGACCATGGAACACGATTGGGTGAGAGCGATGAAACTCAGAGTATAGATTCATTATATCAATACCATGACTAAGTTCGATGATGTGAATTTTCTGCTTAGGCTACATAGTGATAAGCAATTTGATTGGTCAAGACTTTGGAACATAACAACGCTGCTTTTCAAATTTAATTGAGGTAGAATGTTTAAACTTGATGTAGATGTTCAGTAAGTGAATGTCTTGACTGAGCTAAGCAATTTCATTGGTCGATGCTCTGGGACAAGGTAACCTCGATTCTAACTTATGGAGAGTGATGAAACTTAGTATAGAGTTTCACTACCAGGTAGTTCAAAACCTTGACTGAGTTCAATCATGAACATTTTCTACTTAGATTAAGTATAGATAATCGGTTTGATTGCTCGATACTTTTCTAAAAGATAAATGTGCAATTAATTAATATGTGTCATCGATTTATTTTGGGATTTCAGCGATGAATATCAGCCTAACTGCTGGCTTGTTTTCTTTTACTCTGATTACCAAAATATTGATGTTATATCGAAAATTATCATGGTTAACATGACTACATGAGCTATTATAATTAACATTTCATAACAGCAGCAATTATATTGTTGTTCTTCCAAGTTATTAACATATATATAAAATCGTGATTAGAATGTGGGAGGCAATTCATTAATAAAAACAACTCAATAATTTAATAATCAACATTTATTATCTAAATTTACAGATAATTTTAAAAAAAGAAATTTTTGAAGGAAGAACCTAGAATTTATAGTTTATTGTTGTCAATTTATTTTACTGGAAACAGGGTGGAAAAACACTTGTAAAAGTTTATTTATTTTTGCGTAGAGTCGTTGTCGCTGTCAACTAAATTTTCTAGGTCTTGATGGAAATGAAATGAAATAGGGTTTAACGTCCTAATGTTCTGCTCCGAACTGGGCTAATGAGGGAAATTTTGCCCGGACAGCGGCACTCAGGCCTACTCTTGTATCGAATTCCAACTGTCAAGGGATCTTTTACATGCACGGCAATGTGTACACAGGACCTCGGTTTTTCGTCCCATCCGAACGACTAGACAGCTGTCCTGCATCACTGACAAGTGGGAACCACGCCGGAAAATCTGGATGAACTTCCTCGGCCAATGCAGGGATCAAACACCCAACCGCCAGGCTAGTGAGCCAGCGTCTTACCCACTTAGCCACATGATCCCCAGGTCTTGATGGTATTGTTTGGATGGTCAAAGGTACATTACAGAAACAATGGTGTCAGTGGGAAGGGAACCATAAAATAAAATGAAATAGGGGTTAATATCATATTTTTTTGCTCCAACCAGGCTAAGGAAGATGGGAGAAACGTGAGGGGAGAGTTTTCATGGACACATGACTTTCAGGGAGCAGGTTGCAATCTGATCTTGGGGGCCTTGGTTGCTCTGTGAGTAAGACACTAACCATGTGTTGGCTGAGAAAGTTACTCAGGACTTTCTGGTGTGGTTTCCCCTTGACAAATAGAATTTATGATAAGAGACAAGAGTATAGGCAAAGTTTCCCTCATTGCCCAAGTCCATCTTCATTATCCCAGTTGGGGCAAAAAAGTAGGATGTTAAATTACATTTCAATTCTTTCAGGCACAAACAATTACACAAGACAAACCTATGGACAGGACACAATATATGTTTAGATTGCATATCAAGATTATCACCGAGATGGCCTGTCTAACCTCATGGCCACACTACCGGCATGATGAAATGATTTACTAAGCATTTAATGTGTGACGGTAGTATAGTAACAATGTGTGACATTAGTCATATAGTAACAATGTGTGACATTAGTCATATAGTAACAATAATTTGTTTATTTTTATAGAGAGATCAACAGCAAATGGCAGTTTACCAAATGGCCAACCTCCAGAATTAGAAAATTCTCCAGCACACATGAACTTGGGTAATTTGACTGGATCACCCAGCCACTCTCGTAGCCCTAGTAACATCAGTGGTATGGTGGATAGTATGAGTAAATCTGGTACAGAACTGTTTGATGGATTTGTAATCGGTGTTCACCGGAAAATGGTAAACAAGTTATTTTTATGAGTTCACTAATTTATTATATGAAGTACCCAATATTTTTGTGTACTTTTAATTTTGCTTCCATAATAAATAGAATTTTCATAAGTAACAAGTTATAACTTTCCAACTCATCCCAAAGTTAGCCTGTCCATAGTTATACAGTTATTATTTGAAGTTCAGTGATTACCATGTCTGTCTTCATTAGCCCAGTCAGTGCAGAAAAGTAGGACATTAAACCCCTTTTCATTCCTACCGTTGGGCCTTAAAAGAAAAAGTGCTACCACAAGTTGAAGAAAGGAATGAGGTTTAATCTTTTATCAGCACAATAAAAAGTATTGATATTGTATTCTATTCCTTTTCTATACAAAGCTGTCCATGGAGCAATGTTTCAGTATAGAGATTCGCAGTGTTGATCAAACATTTTGATATTTCATTCGTCCATGGACTACAAATGAGCAGTTGACTGATAATTCTGAACAGGAAGCTGACAGAATCAGATAAATACACACTGGTAATTTGGTTAATTCGAAAGATTACATATTGTTCATTTATTTGATTTCCCAAAGGAAAATATTTAATCCTTCTGTTCTGGTTTTTCTTTATCAAAAGATTCTTATGGATGTGTACTTCCTCTCATCGCAAAAAACAAGACCAAGTTTGTTTGGAACACCCATCATTATCCCATGTCGAGAAAAGACAGCTAATCAAGATTTGTATCATTTTGTATGGGCACAAGTTGCTAGATTAGTGAGTCCTCTACCACCTTCTGAGCAAAAGACAGCAAACCATGCACAAGACTGGTAAGAACTATTTCATGGTAAAAATATACATTGACAATTTGCAACAAGATTACCACTAAGGGCAAATGTACAGGGGAGGTAACTGGAGTATACAAATTTGTCCTGTCGCGGACTGAAGAGCACTATTTAATGGTGTATGTTTGGGTTATATTTCAATCATAAAAAAGAATCTGAAATCTCAAGACCAGAACCATAGATAGATCAGGGCCATGAACACTGTATAATAATAATAATACAATGTTTGAAATTAATATGACCAGCGTTTCAGCAAAATTTTCACCAGTAATTTTCAAGCAAACAACTTGTGAAATCTTGTAATGTTGCAATAGTGGTTGTATCCGTGCAAAGTATTCTATAAGTCATTTGCTAAATATCTCTCCAGGATTATACCATATAAAGTCTTGATTAATAAATATAGACCCAAAAAAAAAACGTCAGTACGATTTCAAAATCAAAGAGGCACTTAATCAAATAAAAACATTTGACAAGTTTTATGCAATGTGTCTATTCACGGTAACCTATCAACCTGATTTTTCTTTTGCTGCTTAGTATAGGCGAATATTTACCAAGGATGGTATATTCCCTTAAATGTTTTCATTTATATTTGATGTTGTTTCTAATCTCTAGAGTTTTTAATATTTTATAAAAATGTTATCTAAACAGTTTTTATAGACCAATATTGAATGTTCCATATTTCCATCACCCACAATCTGTCTGTTGTTCCAAATACTGCACATGGGAAATTTATCATACTACATTTTTATACACACAAATTTTCATGTGGACGTATTATGGCGTCGCCCTTTTCCGTCCGTCCGTCAGTTCATCCATGTGTCCAATCACATTTGTTTGCGGACACGCACATTACAGGTCACAATTTTTATCCAATTTTGACGAAACTTAAAATATATTTTTATATCCCAAGAATCTCTGTCTGATATTGATTAAACTTAAAATATGTTTATTTACCAAAGATCTTGGTTCCATTGGATAAATTGCCCCATATCAGACCATAATTAAGGTTGAGTTCAAATTTTTTGTCAACATCAGATCAAAACTTCCTGAAGTGTAAAAGCATGTAATATGTATATGTGTTGAACCCTCTTTTATCATGTATATTCACTGTAAGATAAGTATAAATACACTTCTAAAGACCCTACATGCAAATGAATTATTAAAATAAAATTAAACCATATGTTAGTCCCAGAATGACAAAGATTGTGTTGAGTGAATGTTAAACCTCATTTCTCTCTCTCCCATTGTTCAGTGTTCCCTATAACATCAGAGAGATGAAGAACCTTAATTCAATCACTGGTTTTTGATAATAACTTAGAGGTATTGCCCTTGGTAACAATTTTGAGAAATCTCACATGCTTGAAATTGATATGCTGAAGAAGTTGAAACAGATATTATATAAGAGTCAGTTTGAGCTGTAACAGTGTGTATGTCCACTGTTGTTATCTGGATTCTGTTAATTTGAGTTTGACGGTTGACACATGCTGCCTTTAACCACACATACACATGCTTCTGTAAACTTTATGAAAGAAACCAAAAGTGATAAAAAATGTGGTTTATGTTACACTATGGTATGTATGATCTGGGTGGAATGAATATTGACAATATAATTATTGGCTGTTGGTCCAAGAAGTCTTCTTTTAACAGTAAATATCATTATTTTGCTTGACAAGGCTGAAATATCAAGGTTGAAATATATGAAGATAATAATTCGCTGAAATGAACTGCCCTCGATACCTGATATGTTGATAGTACAAATATTTTCTGATTTATTTGAAACAAATACAGTAGAATCTGTATTAAGCAGCCACTCAAGGAATTTTAATTACTGACCCTTAACGGGAGTGACCTATTATTAAAATCTTGGTGTTTGTTAGTGCTGACATCAGGTAAATTTTACGCTTGGATGCACTGGGAGCAAACACGAATACTTGCATCGGTAAATTTGACTGTCACTGAAACTTGCTTGGAACGAAAATTCTTTGACACAGATCTGATATAACTTCTGTAAACATGTCATTTTGTACCAATATTGATACTACTGTCTACCATTGTGATGTATTCGATATATTTATCCATTTTTGTAAAGAAAATCCATGAATTAATTTTAATTTATGTCCAAAAATCCATCTCTGAATGTTTCACAGATTTTCAGGGGGTGTAACTCTGTATGTAATACAGAAGGCGCTAAAACCTCTGTTTAGCAACAAAGTGGCAATGAAAAATAGATACTAGATGATCGTGACAAAACTCGGCTTTGATGGTACTTTTAGTTTATTCAATAGCAGTATCAAATAATGTTTTGTTGCATGTGAAAACAATGATCAGGGTTTGTTATTTAATAAAACAAAAGATTAGTTAACAGATAATCCTATAGGTTTAATGTTATTTTCACAGTTCTTTTTACCTGATTGGTGGGGGGGGGGCAGATAATTAAAGTAGCTAAGTCTCTAACTCAATATCATCCAAAATCTTCAACATTGAAAACAAATTATTTGTCAATTTAAATCAACATTGATGCTGTGATCTTACCTGAAAAAGATGGGCTTCTGATATCTAATATTTAAGACAAAATAAACATTTTACCATTGGTACACGAATCGTGTACCATGATGCATTTCAGCCCCAGTTCTAGCAAGAGACTCGAGGAACGAGGCTAGACATATTGCACCAAACCAAACGGCGTATGTAGACTGGAATAACCAGGTGCTAGAAATTTGCATTCGATTGAGACTGCTGGCATATTTCGCGGAAAAAACTGATTTGAAATTAGAGTAAAAACGGAAACCATTTAATGTATATCAGTTTATATACACTCATAATACAGTATTATATGAGTTCCGACCCACTTGTGTCAATTTCTAGGTCCCAAATGTTAGCGATTTAGGTCCTTTAATGTTAATCACAGGATCATTCAACAATGGCCGTTGAATGGCAGACGTTTTATTAATTAATAACTAAAACAGTGACCCCTGGCTGTGTTAGGGGAGTGACCGTTGATTAAAGAGATGAAACAATAGAATTTCTTCAGGGGGAATTTATTGTGACTGCTTACAAGGAGATGTCGCTGAATAGGAGTGGCTGTTTGTACAGATTCTACTGTAATATCTTTTTTATCATTTGATACAAAATCTATTTTAGACAGTTTGCCTGAGAAAGAAATAGCATTAAAGGTCCATTACAAAAATATTTATAGGGTAGTTATTTTCAATAAAAATATGACAAATCTGGTATATGGAAAGTAGCAACACTCGATCTCACTAGAAAATACCCACAAGATGCGCACAGGACAAAAATGCAAAGGGATCACTAACTGGCAACCAATCTGTTTGAATGATATAGGGAGCGCTTGATTTTGTTGATTGAATAGTGAAGGACTTAAACATAATTAAGACTTTGTTATTAAACAGCGGAAAAAGATGATGGCAAATGGACTGCGAGCAGCAATAATTTGTGCAAGCTGAAATTGTAACATACACAGAACCCTGTCAATCAAATCACATAATAAACAAGGCTGCTTAAACATACATTATGTAAGAGCTAAATCTGATTATTGCAAGTCTTAATTTAGGCTTCAGATGTTATAGAAATTATAAATTTAAACAACAAGCCCAAAATCAACTCTGTAGACCCACGAATGGCTCGGCTACAGCTTGGAGATTATTAACCGTTACGTTGACGTCATCAGTTAGATCGAGGCTAAATGATAGACTGCATGAAGCGAGGCCGCTGTTGAGCGATGCCGCATGTCAGTCAATTTGATTGAAAGTTCGATATATACGGCCTTGATATTATGTTCAGTTGTGGTTAAAATGAGAGTTTGGATGTCGGTATTATACGCTCTTTTGTCACTTGCGTTTACAGGAAAATTATGGAAATTGATAAACATCGCAGCTAACATCACCCCAGTTGAATTGCAGCCCCATTGGATTACTGTAGTGTTTCCTATTTGTCTGCTTCGGGAGTCACGTAGTCACATTACAGTACAAGAGTTCACACAGGCTAACAAGAATTCGGCTATAATTATGCCTCATTGATTTGGTCCACTCCTTTCAAACTTTCGCTTCTTATCTATATAATAAAAGTCTTATTTTTAATTTGTAGTAAAAATAAATGTGATACTAATTGAACTGCAACCCTGTCTCAAGCCATTGAAAACGTTACTTGATAATCGAGATTATGTAGGTGGAGTTAACCCCAGTCAATCAAACGACCGGCCAAGGTGAAGATACATTTGACTACCATTTCTAGTCAAATATCACAACGATGATAACTTTGTTCAGAATAAAGTAATTTGACTGAAATTTTCAATATATTCTTCTTTCATCGTCTACTTTTGAACTGTTATAGCAAGAATGGCCAACTCTCTATAAAAATCTCCCATAATGTATCTTTAAAATAGATTTTTACAAGTTTGGGTTGTTTTCTTTTGATTAATAAATAAATTATCTTGACTATGTTTTTTGTCCAAATATATCATCAAATCGCACAGTTTGTATGTGGGAAGGTCTCTTTAATATATTTAGTTTGTGGAAATTAAAAGAATAAAACGGGAAATGGTATCTAGTGTTCTAGAAAGAGTTGTTATGACATCAGTCACTACTGGATTATATCCACAGCAAAATGTAGATAATCCCCCAGTTTGGATTCAATCGGCTAAAAAAACAGAGGCTCATCAAAAGGATTTACCCAGACTCTTCCATGTAAAGATTAACAATCCGGAACAATCAGCAGGTTTAACTACCAGTACTTTATTTGTAAAAATCCTGTTTTGTTTTTTTTTCAGTGATGATAGCTTAGGCTATGAATATCCGTTTACACTGAAAGTTGTGCAGAAAGATGGTTTTACTTGTGCTAAATGTCCATGGTATAGGTAATTTCACTACATTCTGCTCATAATCTCACAGAAACACAGCAATGCATACAGCAATCAGTTTTTATCTGTTTTATTTGTTGATAATTAATCATATTTTTTGTTTGTTGATAACCAATCGTCATACCACATCACTTTCTTTGGCGTTACATTTTTATTGATGGACAATTAGCATATATTACTATTAGTTAGCAATTAAACACATTTTAATCACATGTAGTTGGCAATTAAGCACACTTTTGTCACATGTAGCCTTGGCAATTAAGTTCACTCTTATTACATATAGGTGACAATTAAGCACATTCTAATTACATATTATGTGACCTGTGGTGGCTAAATGAGTCGGAATGCGGAATATTGAACTACAGACAAAACAAGTGAAAATATTGATTTTGGTCGAAATTGCAATAAAACATTTTGAAACACCTTTATTTGGACATTTTGTGAGAGTAAAGTATTCATAAATTTGTCTTTTTTTTCAAATTCTCAGTGAATTAGTTATATTTCTTCGATTGCTGTTGGATGATCAGGTATCCCCTTACGTAATACTTGGCATCGTTGTAAAACGTTACATTTCTAGTTTATAAATATGACCAAAGTAATACCGATGATGTCATTTTCATTGAGTACAACCTTAGCCCGTTTCAAGTCAGCGCAGCGTAACTTGTTCGCTGATTGACCCAGACATCCCAAATGGCATATTATAAATTACGTGAAAAGGAGTAGGGTCGCCTGTCCAACGTCGTGGGTTTCTCCGGGTCCTCAGGTTTCCTCCCACTGCTAAAGACTCCTACGTGCAAGCGAATTATGGAAATACATACATCATTTTTAAGTTATTGTATTGAAGAATGGGAAAACAACAATAACTCAGTTTTCAAAATTTCCTCATTGCGACTCATTATGCCAGCACAGATCAAATATAGGTGCCAATTTAAAGCACATTCTTATTACATATAGGTGGCGAGTAAGCACATTCGTATTACATGTACTTGACAATTAAGCACATTCTTTTTACATGTAGTTGACAATCAAGCACATTCTTATTATATAGTTGACAATTAAGCACATTTGAAACATCCATAATAATGTGTTAATTGTCAATTAATTACTGCACAAAATACGAATAAATGTAAAAAAAAAAAAATGGTTATTATGACATTATGTACTTTTCTTCCTTCGACATTCGGTCAAGCGAGACAATCATCACTAATTGTCAATTTCATCATAAAATACTCACCAAATGCAAAAGAGAACAAAGAAACAAACAGACTTTCTCTTTTATTTTATATCAATAAATCTGTGGATAATAGCTTATATTATAGTATACATGTATGAAAATATAGATCTGACGTTATCCTTTGATGTAGACCTACAATTATTTCAAACAATTGTACAGTCAACATGCCAACCGCACATTATTTATACATGATTATATAGAAATGCACATGCATGATATGATGGTATCTGTATATTAAGTTGTTTAAAGGTCTCCAGCAAGATATTATGTAATCTATTGATACAAGGTGGGGTTGGATGGCCGAATGGTTAGCACATGCGCGCTGTATCATGAGGCCGGTCATTGAGTCAACTGACGTGGTTTCGAATCCCCGGTTGTACGTGACAAGGAGTAGGGTTGCCTGTCCAACCTCATGGGTTTACTCCGGGTCCTCCGGTTTCCTCCCACTGCTAAAGACCCCTACGCGCAAGCGAATTGTTGAAATAAAATTAAACCATATGTTAGTCCTGAAATTACCTAGTCTGTGTCGAGTGGACGTTAAACCCAATTTCTCTCTCTCTCTCTCTCTCTTGATACAACACTCTGACTGATGTCTCAGTCCAGGGCCCTGTTTCTCGAAATCTTAACTAAAGATAAAATTCAAATTTTAGTAGATGCTTCAATTTTGATTGGCTGAGAACTAAAATCAATCTAATATTATCCAATTACTAAAATTTGGATTTAATCTTAAGGCCCCAGACCTTTAAACATGCATTATGCAAGAGCAAAATCTGCTTATTACAAGTCTTTCTTTAGGCCTGAAATGTTATCTAAATTATCAATTAGACATTAATTAACTTATCAAGACCATAATAAACTCTCGATGTCAAGGCTAGCCTTCATTGTTGGCTGGATTAGATTCCTATATGCCGCTAACAGCTATTGATAATTAAATCAATAAAAGTGGATAATCAAGACTATGCTGTTTATATTAATGATTTTAGTAATGATGACCGAGACTATGCAAAAATTTCACCCGCTTCTTTCTCGGCTCATAGTGGACCAATTTGACTGAAATTTTCAGCAAATTACCTTAACACTATCTAGTTTTTAACTATTATAGCGAGAACTACCATCTCTTTATCTTATCTCCCATAATGTATCTTTAAACCAAATATTATGCATTATGCTGGCCCCCGGATCTGTTCACTTGCAATGTCATGTCCGGGTTTTGTTTTGTGTGTAGTGCGATCCTCCTACACTTACTAATTGAGATGGCCTGAACATCAACATGTCGATGTGTCACAATAGTGACATGCAAATACATTTTGTATAAAACAGACTAGCAAACAATAACACACTAGAAACATTAATTTTTTTTTTAAAAAGTTAAAGAAAAAAAATCTGATCTGTAATTTCACGGGGTATAGTTCATGAGGACATAATTAAATGGATTGTGTGCCATTTCATCACACTTATTTCATAATTTCATTAATTTAGCGGGATGATGTGTTTGTATTCCACCAAACACTTTCTGTAAAATAATTATTATGTTTTGCCAGACATCTTAATGAAATATTTGCATGACATTGACAGTGAACTACATACTTACAGTGTTATATAATTGTTGTTTTTCAGGTTTTGTCGTGGATGTAAGATAGAATGTAATAGTAGTTTATTTAATAGTGCTGGATCGTTTGTGGCCATTGATTGGGAACCCACAGCTTTACATCTCCGATATCAAACAACTCAGGAACGGGTTAGTATGTTTCAATATTAGAAGAGATAATGACCTCGAAATATAACGATATTTATTTATTTTATGCTTTTTTTTGTATAGTTTTGGCTCTATACTTGAATTAGAATAAGAACTCTGTCAATTAGAAGAATTATGGCTGATTTTTATTGGCACTGTCAATTTAGCAGAATTATAACTGATTTTGTTGGCATTTAATCACATGATGTAAGTTAGCAAAATATAACTAAAAGAAAAATTACTTTATCTACAATGAAGTTGTTGCCAAATTTCAGGAATAATTCAAAAAAGTACTTTCAGAGTTATTGCCCTTGACTTATTTTCATGGTTTTGTTTCACAAAACATCAAACAGTTATATACATATAGTGGTTTCTACAGTGATGTTTTAAATTCAAAGTTAAGGTGACATTGTGTTTTAGTTAATGAAATTTTGTACCACCGCCATCAAAGAGAATTATTATCCTTGGCTTTCACTAGATTTATGACCTTTAAACCTTATACACTTTGTTTCGTCTAGGCAGTTAATTTAAATGGAATCAAAGCTAACAATAAATTCTTCTACTGTACTTCAAGTTCAGTTTTTCGACTGAAGTTAATATTTTATTTCCAGAAAAAAGGCAGTTTTATGTATAGTATTGAGCAGGGCGTATAGTCGGTCATTTTTTAGAACGCACTACGAAAACATAGCAAACTAGAACTGCGAAGCAGTAATGACGGGTTTCACCGGTGCCACGTTACCCTTGAACTTATGTCACTTACGGTACCAATGAAACCGTTAAACAGGTTTCCACATAAGCATTGCACACATGAAATAAACAACCAAATCCAGCAATCAATTCATTTGCTACATGTCAGTGATCCTGTCAAAATTACATTACTTCCGGTGATAATGAAAATGTTAAATTGGCTTATGAAATCAGAAATAGCATCATCACATGGTGAAAATTTTATGTAAATCCTATAATAATTGCCACCTTTATAGACCAAAAACCTTGAAAAATGACTTGTAGAAAATCGCCTATTTCTCTGCAACCGTACAAGTTAGAAACCATTTTGAGGTATCTGTATGATCGAATGAGTTTATTCTATTTGTTGATTGGAATCAAATATCATAATTTAAAAAACATTACAAATCTGATTCATTTGAATAAAATATCTGTTTTGAAGGCTAAAAATACAGTTTTTGCCAAAATGACGTTACTCCCGGTGATAATGAAAATCTTATATTACTTGTATGAAATCGTAAATGGCATTATGTATCACACAGTGAAAATTTCATGAAAATCGAATAATAATTGACACTTTTATTGACAAAAAACCTTAAAAAGTGACCTGTTGAAAATTGCCTATTTCTCCGCAACTGAACAAGTTAGAAACCATTTTGTGATATCTATATGATCGTAAGGGTTCATTGTATTAGTTGATTTGAATCAAATATCAAAATTTTAAACAAATAACAAATATGACTCATTTGAATAAATTACTGGTTTCGAAGGCTATAAATACAATTTTTGCCCAAATTACGTCATTTCCGGTGATATTGAAAATGTTAAATTGGTTTGACCTAGTTAAAATTGACATTACACATCAAATGGTGTCACTTTTATGAAAATCGAATAATAATTGACTCTTTTACAGGCAAAGTAGCGTAAAAAGTGACTCATGCATAATTGCCCATTTCTCGGCAACTGCGCATATTACAAATTAATTTTCACATACATTCTCTCCGTATAGATTATTGCTACGAGTTTATGAAAGTTACGAAGTAATATTTTAAAATATGAAAACGCTGGATGGGTTGTAAATAGCTTAATTTTACACCTTTTTTCACCTTTTAATCGAAATAGCCCGAAAACGGAATCGAAATTAAAAAAACTGGTCCCAACATTTTGTGCGCCTTTAAAGGGCGCACAATTTCAGTTATACCAGATTTGAAAAAAATAATATTTGCTTTCGAAAAATGGTACCTAACTGTCAAAATTGTAGTTTTTTGTCAATTTACGCCACTTCCGGTGCCGACAGATAACACTATTGGTAACAAAAAAAATGACAATTGAGACAACGGACATATGAACTTTGTTTTATACAAATCGAACAATAAATAATTAATCTAGGACTGAAAAACTGAATTAGCCAATGGGGGCCAAGGAAAATTACCGAGACAAAAAAATTTCACATTTTTGCCCAAGTAAGAGGACTCGTTATATTTGTGTAAAACACGACTAAAAAATATTCATAAATAAAAAAGTTTTTTGTAAAAATTTAAATTTTCTAAATTTAGCGCCTAATATCTGCGAAGATTTGCCGAAAATCAAAAATCAAAAGTAGCGTAGCTATGTGCCCCGTCTCCGGCTATGCCAAAATGCATCGAAAGTTAAAATCCAATGATTATTGTTAAAATTACTGCAATATTTCTAAAAACGATAGCTTCGGTGATTTCGGACATTTCGCATTGTCGCAGAACGTTCAAAATAGCTTTATCCTCTAAGTCACACCCACTTTTCCGATAAAACCGAAGAAATCGTAACGATCCGACAATCAGTTGCTGAGATCTACTCAAAACAAAAGAAGAATAATAATAATAATAAGAATAATAATTTTAACAAAAACAATAGTGTTTCACACAAGCTACGCAGTGTGAAACCCTAATTACATTCATTTTTTGAGATTTATATAAATGGTAATTCCAATTTGTGTGCATTTGGAATGATTTTTTCAGTATTACTATTAGATTCCATTGAATCCTGGGTTTAGTGATAAAGTGTGTTTAATTTGTTCTTCATACTCATGGCATGTGTTTCTGTATGGGTGGGTAGTGAGGGTTAACATGACTCTTAACATTGTTACAGTGAAGCCCCTCATCTAACATATACAGGGAACTTGCTATAACACAGTATAAGTGTAGTTAAAGTGTTATAATAAAACCCCCTCGGTCTAATATATACTCTTCAAAAAAAGTAGGAGATATTGAAATGCAAATACCTCTGCAGGTTGCGATATGATAAATAGTCATGGTAATTTGACATGCTTTGAGAGTATGTTCACAGATGAAGAACTTACTGCCCCAACAGGAAGAGTTGATGAAAACTTCCGCGTGCTGGTTTATCTATCCATGTTTGCTTTCTTAGCGGTTCTTACATTAAGATTTACTGCTTAGCGTATCTTTGCTTTAGTGTGTTACGTTTAATTTAAAAGGGAGACGTGTTCAGATTACCCCAAATCGTGATTGGATGGTTGATTAGGAGCGTGCCACGACGAATTGCTGAATGTCTGAGGATTGGTGGAGCAATTACTCATTATTAAGACAGAAATCAAAAACGTCCATTTTCACTTTTGACGGTGTATCTCTTTGCGAGTGAAATGGGAGCCGTCAGATAAGTCGCCCATATGAACAGTTTATGTTCATGTGTGGGCAGTTGGCCTGCTATTAACATACACTGGTTACATCTAATAAAAACAGCAGTGCATTTCCGCAGTTTTGTATTGTTTCTGAATATCCCCTACTTTTTTTGAAGAGTATATAAGAGACTTGCTATAGCACAGTATCAGTTCACCCCAACAACAGGTTTGGTCTAATATAAAGGAGACAGTGGTTGAGTGGTCTGACCTGTGTGCTTTAGATCATAAGGTCTGTCATTGAGTCAAGTGGTGTGATTTTGGTTCAAAGCTTGTGTCTAGTGGAGGTTAACTGTCTGAGTGTGCCATTTATCACACATCTAGGGGGGTTGGATGGTCGAATTTTTAGCACGTGCACGCGCTGTATCACATGGTCTGTCATTGAGTTAACTGGCGGGGTTTCGATTCCCCGGGGGATCACGTGGCTAAGTGGGTAAGACGCTGGCTAGCTAGCCTTGAGGTTGGGTGTTCAATCCCTGCATTGGCCGAGAAAGTTCATCCAGATTTTCCAGTGTGGTTTCCCCTTGTCAGTGATGCAGGACAGAGGGCCTGACAAGGACAGCTGTCTAGTCGTTCGGATGGGACGAAATTCCGAGGTCCCGTGTACATATTGGCGTGCATGTAAAAGATCCCTTGGCAGGTGGAATTCGATATAAGAGTAGGCTGTAGCGCCGCAGCCCGGGCAAAATTTCCCTCATAGCACACTGTATGGCGTTTGCCCATCTTCATTAGCCCAGTTTAGGAGCAGAACAGTAGGACGTTAAACCCCATTTCATTTCATTTCATTCCCCGTTTGTACTAGGGTCGCCTGTCCAACCTCGTGGGTTTCTCCGGGTCCTCCCACTGCTAAAGACCCCTACGCGCAAGCAAATTATTGAAATAAAAAATTGAACCATGTGTTAGTCCCGAAATGACCTATTTTGTGTCAAGTAGACGTTAAACCCCATTTCTCTCTCTCTTATCCACATCAGCAACATGGTATTATTATTGATGTTAATAATGTTAATATGGATTATGTTTGTAGAATTTTTTTAGAATAGTACCAATGTGTTATTGTTATCCTCTTTTTTCTTCTAGTTTTATGAAGAACACGGTAGCGTTGAAGAAAGTCGAAGAAAGCAAACCGAACCTATAGATTTAGACACATGTTTACAGGCATTTACGAAAGAGGAAGAACTTGGAGAAGATGAATTATATTATTGCTCGAAATGTAAAAAACATTGCTTAGCTTGTAAAAAACTAGATATCTGGAGACTGCCACCCGTACTTGTAAGTTCTTCAAATTTATTATTTTTGATGAGAATTTTAAGAGTTTATCTGTTGTAGTTTTCAATCCTGAGGCTAATTTAGTTTAATTAATGGTAATTTTAACACTTTCTTGTACAGCTGTTTGAACTTAAAGTTAATTGGTAGCGATAATAATTATTGGTTATAATTTAATGTAGCTCAGTAAGTAAGACGCTGGCTTGCTAACCAAGGGGTCTCTGGTTCGCTCTCGATATTGGCCAAGAAAAGTCCTGTGCAGTTTCTCCTTTGTCAATTGTACATGACAGTGCCTAGTCGTTTGGATGGGACAAAAAATGAGGTCCTGTGTACAGATTAGCGTGCATGTAGAAGGACCCTAGCCAGTGGGAATTTAAAAGTAGGCTATAGCACCACTGTCTGGGCAAAATTTCCCTCATAGCACACTGTATACTCGTCTTCATTATCCCAGTCGGTGCAGAAAGGTAGGACGTTAAATTTCATTTCATTTCGTAGTCTAATGTTCTGATGTCAGATAAGTTGAGAAACACACCAGACTTATTATGTTAACATTTTAGTCACATGCTATTTAAGTTAATCTTTGGAAAAGTTGGAATTTCAGACCATGTTTTATACTAAAAATGACCAGTACTAGGTAAAACTGTCACTAACTGTCATCCCGATGGCTTATTGTCTGCCAGCTTGACTTAGGGAGCGGTTGTTATTTCTTGATCGAATTGTTTGTCGGTTTAGGGAACATTGAGGAGTTTATTAAATGTGCAACAGACTCTGCAATTAAATGGCGGAAAAAGAAATTGGCAAAAGATAATCCAAGAATTTACATAGGCTTCAATATGTATGGCAAATGGACAGTAAATATCGACAAATACATTCTGAAAATGTGCCCTCCCTTAATCAAGTTACATGACAAACATGGCTTCTAAAAATAGATTTTTTATATCTTTGGGTATTTCCTCATAAATACAATGTTTTGAATGGGATTTGAAGCAACTTTTTGATGATTAATTTGTTTGTACCTGTTTTTAGTCCAAATATATCATCAAATCACCCAGATTGGTGTGTGGGTAGCTAAATCTGTCTATTGCAGGTCTTACTTTACGCCTGAAATGTTATCTAAATTATTAAATAGACATTAATTAACCTATCCAGACCATAATCAACTCTAGATGGCATCGCTAGCCTGCGATCTTTGGTGCATTATGAGCCGATTTACTGCATAACTTTCCTTCACGATTTAACGATTAAATGGATAATCGAGACTATGCTGTTTATCGTACTGACTTTAGTAATGATGATCAAGGCTAGGCGGAAATTTCAATCACTTAGTTCTCGGTTCATAGTGGATCAATTTGAATGAAATTTTCAGCAAATTGCCTTTACATTATCTAGTTTTTAACTATTATAGTGAGAACTGTCAACTCGTTATCGAATCTCCCCAAAATGTATCTTTAAATGTTTATTTATTTATTATTCTAAGAAACAGATACATTCATGACAAAAATACAAAATGGAATGCAAACTATTATTGACTTCAAGAGAAGAAAAAAGCTAAATTTCTAACTATTTTAGTATTCTGCTCAAATGATCAAGGATGAAAGATGGGGGGAAATATTTTCAATTGGCTCAATTTTAGACAGATTTTTTTCAAATTTGGTTGAAGCATTGGGCTCTGGAAGGACACCCTATTGATTTTCAGCTTTCCCCAACTTAATTGTTTCTGGAGTTAAAGCATCCAACTTATCTTTTTAGATGATAAAGCTGCTGTCTATGACAAAGGTTGTTTTTTTTGTGACACAGTTGCTGTGTGGGCATATATATATATATATATATATATATCTTTGTGTGGCTATCTTCTGTCTTGTATCAAGTATAAATTTTGTTTCTTTAAGTTGATTTTTTTTATGACAGTTTTAAGCGCTTATCAATTTTTATAAGAAATTTGAGCACAGCTGCGGGCAGCTTCCTGAAATTGCTCATTTTAAGACCAACAAGTGTAATTATCAGAGGCTAGAGTTTATTTCAAATTTAGGGAAAATCGAGTTAATGATCTTCTTGAAATGTCTAACATGCAGTAGGAGATCTATTTCAAATTTGATCAAGTGTTGAAACCCATTACAAATCTTTGAGTCAAACAACCTCCAGAAAGCACATCCTGTTATCATTAATTCTATTACTGACAGCCATGTATTTACTCTGGTTTCTTTTTTTGGGGTTTAATTTCATATTCCAGTACCTTCCCTTGGGCTTTTTGAACTAAGTAGTAAAAAGCAGTATTTTGCGATATTCCTGATTATAATTTAAAGGGGCTAAACCTCTAACTCAATTTTCAATAATATTTAAATAAAGACACGAATTAGAATTAAATATTGGTCCATTTCAATCAATATTGATGTTAGAATCCTTGAGTGTCATTTAGTGATTGAGCACATTAAATGATGCAACACAATTTATATGGAAAACAATTACTGGTTTATACACATGTAGCATGATAAGTATTCTCTTAGTAAACTATAAACGTACTTATGGAAAACATACTTATGGAAAGCTAGCTTGTAAACGTTGAGAGAATACTCTACGAAATTTCGCCTAAATAAATCAGTAGCTGTTTTCCATAAATATGTTTATAGTTTATTTATCTGCCCAGTTACTAAATGCCACTTAAAAAATATTCTCTTAGTGTTTTGTTTGTGCTTGAAAACGATAAGAGAATACTTGTCGAAACGTCGTACTATATGAGTATCAACAAGTAATTGTTTTCCATATATATTGTGTTGTGTTTTTTGATATTGATGTTGTGTATATTGGCGTGAAAATATGGGATCATAATAACCAAAATTTAAGAAACAATGAACATTTTATGGTCAGTATTCTATGGATTCGGGGGCCATTTCCAATGGACAAAGAAAACCATATCTTACAATGCGGAATTAATTATAGAACGGACTACACAGGCATAAATAACTGTTGTTCAATTTGGACTGTTCACATATTTACCGAACATAATTGATTAGAAATTGCAATAAATGTTTTTAAAATTGAATAAAAAAAATGTTTTTAAAATTGAATATAAATCTCTTTCATATGACATCAATATGTGCTTTAAATATTGTGCATTAATATAGTGGTTTCAAACATTGTGCGGTTACGGTTCCACATTTACATGTGGCAAGGAGTGTAGGTTCTCATGCCAATAGCCTATCTTTGTGGGTTTCTTCAGGTACTCTGGTTTTCTTTTACTGCTGCTATTTGAAGACCTCTAAATTAACTTTGCTGGTTTAATAGATGTCAATTTTAACACTACTAGCTATTCACTATATGGCTAGAAGGAGGAAATGAAATGAAATAGGGTTTAACGTCCTACTACACATGGTTCAATTTTAATTCATTAGTTCGCTTGCGCGTAGGGATCTTTAGCAGTGAGAGGAAATCCATGGGGTTGGACAGGCGACGTAATCCTTGTCACGTACAAGAGAGAAATCAAAACAATCGCTACTTGACTCAATGACGACCTTATGATGCAACACACATGCGTTAACCATTTGGCCACCCAACCCCCCCGATTTACTTCAGATTAGCAAAGATATTTTTTCATTCCATAATATTAAAATTTTTAGTATTATCACAAAAATTTCAACATAAAAACTTAAAATTGAAGTATCTTTATGGTGTTTTAAAGTTAAATTTTTGAAATTGTAAGTTTATGGTATACATGTAAATTGCCTGAAATACAAGTTCTCCAGCTTGTCAACTTCACTAACAGGGGGTTGGGTTGCTGAATGGTTAACCTGAATAATTTAAAAGGCATTATTTTTTTATATAGAAAATAGGAAGACAGTCTTATCTTGTGTAGGTAGAACCAAAAGGATATAAATAGGTTGTATGTATTACAGGGGAAAAAATCGTTGAACTTTAAACATATCAACAATAAAATGTAATAACAAAAAGACTCAAAGAATTGTTTTGAATACGATAGATACATAATTATTTAAATAACATGATCTTAAGATAACGAGTTTACTTCAACTGTAATGGTGTCAGTTAGTCTGGATAAGGATTCTGCATCTTGTGTTATGATATATCTTGTGCAAACTGCAATTAGCTGATATTGACTCATCCAGATTAAAGTATAATAATGTAAAAGTATACAAAAGAGGAGTTGGAACACATCGGGACTATATCTTATCATAACTGCCATCTATACCATACAAAAGTTCTTAAAGCCTTGTTCCATTTGAATTCAGACAGGCTGTTTAGTTGCATCATTTTTGCTAATATCAGAATCAGTCTTGAAAAGCTTGATTATTTGATTTTAATCATGGCATTTCTACTTGTGTGTCCTCCGAGATTAAAATGTATTGTAACTAGTTTCAGTCAGTTAGTTTAATATCTGCAAAATGTTTTTAAGTTTTTATCTTTCAAACACGTTTGCTCTCTCCCAGGTATTAATTTTGACATAGAAATCAAGTTGATAAGTAAACTATATTTCTAAAACAAAGAAAATGAAGGGGGGGGTGCCCAAGTTCAGATTTTGTCGTTGATACCGTGTGGTTGAAAGGTTTTTAATCTTATAATCCAATGTAATTCGATTGTGCGTCTATTGGTAGTAGAAGTATATAGCTCAGGGTCTGTCCCAAGTTGTTTAATTATTTGATAGTCAAGGTTTCGACTGGAATGTCTCAGTAAATAGAAAGTGGGAGGCGACTGGGGTGTCTATCCTGTGGGTAATATCAGCGTAGTGTTCCTTCAGCCTAATACAGAACAGTCTTTTAGTTTCGCCTACATATTGCTTGTGACATAGATTACAGGTTAGAATGGAATATTACATTCTTGCTGTGACAGGTCCAGTTGTTGGGACATTTGTACGTTTTGCCAGTTTGAGTAGAACAGAATGTGGTCTGTGGTTTGAGTGTTTTGCAATATTGCCAATTAGGTAAGTTGCATATAGACTCTAGGTATGCGTCACTTTTTCCGCTAATTTGAGGTTTTTGTGTGTGATTTTTTATGGT